AAAAAAAAATTAGTTCAACTGTTTTAGCCCTTACAGTAAGAGGAAAACAGTAAAGGATAAAAACTTAGCCATTTTCGTAACTTGAATGAACCTGCCACAGGACTCCGAAATAAATGTGATAACTCTTAGTTTTGAGCTGTATTCTGTTCCTGCAGAGTCGCTAACAATATCTCCTTGATCACTAAAAATATTTCCACTTTACTGCAACTTTTCGCAGTGTTTACAACAGCTAGCAACAATTACTGAACAAGTGTGATTTGTGGTGCCTGCTTCTCAGCAACCGGGAGTTGTCGTAGGCAAAGTTCAGCTCCACCGATGACGCAGCTTGACGGCCTATTGTTTCAGAACTTCCGGTAACGCCTGTACACGGTAAAGAATAGCTCGTCAAAGTGCTGTCCCCTATTTCCATATTTTTGAGGTGCACCCGTGTGTAGTAAGCAGGAACACATCCTCAGACTGCTTTTTTTAGACTACCAGGGACTGCTCTCCGTATATTTTCATACCTCCGGTGCCCAAGAAACGTTTATTTTCATCAAACCTATCTATAACAGAAGAAAAATAACATTCTATTATCAGCTCATTTAAGCAAAAGAACCGTCCGCAAACTGTTTGCAAATTAAATGTAAACATTTTTTACAAGCGCATAGCCAAAAACTCGCTGGTATTTATTGGTAACGCCACTTTTATAAGGTACAATATGATCAAAAAAATCAGGTGCTACTAGCACCAAACATTAACGGAGATGATAGCACAACCCATAGAAACAAATTTTTAAACAGTGAATATCATCTAACCTAAAAAGCTATTCAAGTTGTTTTTGATTACAACACAAGCACAGTACAACCCTTCAGCAAGCAAATTCTTAAAAATCATTCCTCTCAGTGCTTCCTTAGTTTCGAACGGATGATTATTCCATCTCGTCACAAAAGAGTTGGAACAATGGCGTCTCAAATAATATTTTCACTTCTTTAAACAACTATGAAAGTAAAACCTAAACAATGTCGGAAAATATGAGTGATGCAATAACCATGCGAAAGATTTAACACACAAACGGGGCGGCTCTCATCACATACGAGGCACCAAACGAAAAGAAAGTAAAAAAAGATGAATCAACACTGAACACCGTCCTAAAAACCCGACCTTTGTCAAACTATACAACAAAGCTCTTTGCAAGAGCAGTGAACGATTCCAAACTGAACAAAACGTGGTGTTTTAAATGAATTTAATATAAGTAACATACTATTTACGTTGAATACATATCAGAAAGAAGCAAAATTTTGAAACTTCAGCTTTTTTGTAATGCGTTTCAAACGCTTCGAATATACAAAAATATCACACTTAATAAAGGATACGCTAGTACATAAGAAGTCTAAAGGCATTAACCGAGAAATCTCGTTAACATAGTGTGTATAGAAAAATAAAAGGTCCACTGAGCCACAGTTTCTTCCTTAGCCCGCTCTGCTCTCAGAATGGAAAGCAGACAACGGAACTAACAGAGCCAACAAGGTCGTGATTTGTAAATGTGCCACAAAAACTGATAAAATTCTCAACTGTGTGCATAAATATGTAATAAATTAGATTATGCAAAACCAAAAAGAATAGAAGAACAAGCTGTACAGACCGGCTTTGAAAGTGACACGTTAGGAGTCAAGAATTGAACGTAAGTCCCCAGTGTCCGAATACCTATTTGAGGGTGCAGGAAGCGGCGACGATCGTATTGTCGATTTTTCATCAGACGCCTAAGAAATAGCGAATAACAAGTCAATGAAGGTAAGCTCATAAGAAACTCACGATTTCATTTTAGAAAATGGTATTTCTTTTATACTGAAAAAGAGCATAAAAGCAGTAGCAAAGCACATGTTTCTCATAAAACGAACTGGTCAACTCATAGAGGCCGTCAACATACATGTAATGGTAGAGGATGAGACGGTGGGCCCAGAGATTCTCTTTCTAGAAAACGAATGAACAATTCACTTATTGAAGGTCCAGTGTTTGAAGACCGATTCACACCGCCAAAACCAAACCAGGTGCGATTTGCAGATGCGTTGGCTGCATGAATTTTGGCCGCATCCTTAAAAGTTCTAATTAGGAATAAATAAATGAAGTTTCAACAGGTACTGATAATAAATACAAGAACTACTTCAGGAGAATAATTAAGAATGGAAGCCAATAAAACAGCAATTTCCGGCTTTTTATTCGGTTCAGCGGTGAAATACGAAAGAAACAACTGCCGCAGTGTTTCGTCATCTATACGATATGTGGATCCAGGAGACCCAGAAGCCATCTGAACCTTCTCATCCAACTGGGTCTCTAGCTCATCGATTACCTACAGTCAGTTACGGAATAAAAGTCATGAAAGCAATATTTTGGAACTAATGATAAGTACAACTATCAAAAAGCTTCTTTTTTATAAGATCATTGGAATTTGGATGTAATACCGCGTCCTTCTTAGTTATTTCCTCTCTCAACTGTTTATCAGATGCCTTTAAAGTATCTTTCTCTGCCAAAAGTGCCTCTTCAGATGCATAAAGATTTCCCATTTCTTTTTCGAGTTTCTAAAAAAATGTAACAAATCAACAAAGAAAACAGGATATATCAGTAAATTCCAGATTTGCTTTCAAGTAAAGCTGATCATCGACGACTACTAAAACAAAATGCTGAACGTTTAAATTTATAAGGGTACAGAACCTGTAATAAATTCTATAAGACTTACCTGTATATCTGCTTCTAGCTTCGAAATCTGTGACTCATAAGAAGCTAACTGTGACGCATGATCTGCATCAATATCTCGAAGAATCTTTCGCAAATCTGATAACGCTTTCTCAGTTTTTTCAAAACTTAGGCTCTTCTCGGCTAGTTCTTCTTTTATTTGATCCTTTTCGGATCTCACAACACTCAATTCGTTTGAAAGTTCTTCTAGCCTTTTCTAAAACGCTAATTAGCATACATCTCTCCGCACAAAGTGTCAAAGCATATTAATTTTCCAAGAGATGGAAAAAATATTTTTTTATAAATTAGAAGAGATGGTGATGGAAAAGTTCGACATTGACGGCCACATACTTAGCATGTCGACTGTTAATTAACACTCAATGTAACTAATAAGTACCAGAAAAGCAGCAAAAAACTAAAGAGTTTACTTCATATGCATTGGAAGAAGAAATAACAGTATCTGCAGTCTCTTCAGTCTTTAACTCCAACCGCCGAATTTTATCTCTAAGAGCAATTTCTCTTTCCTCAGCAGCAACAGCATCACGAGTAAATGTTTCTTCCATCCCTAATAGATGTTGCCGCAGCCTCTCGTTCTCTTTTTCTGCTTTGTCTTTGCTTTCTACTGCGCTAAATGAGATTTCGGTTTTATGACTGACTGAAGCAAGCCTTCTATAATTCCAATTGAGAAAAAAAGCAAATTATCCAAACAAATTTCACTAGCAAAAGAAAATAAAAATATGAACTTTCACTAATGATCAATTAGTTTAGTGAAGCACAAGATAAAGACACAGCAAGAAAAAAGAACAAAAGCTGAACACACTTTGCCAACTCCTTCTAACTTCAGGTTTAAAGCGCTTTGTTGTAACACGTATTTAGAATTGTTACCTTGAGCGACTTAAGAATTAGGTCATAAAATCAATGTTAATAATCACCTTGAAAGTTGTTCATCAAGGAGTGACATTTTTTGTCCGATAGCACTGATTTCACATTGAATATGATCCTTTTCAGCCAAAACACTCTGCAGCTGCGCATGGTAATTTGTGCTTTCAGCGTGTTTCTGTTCAACTAAGGTAACCAGTTCACTGCGTATGCGTTCAGACTCTAAGAGATCCGACTCTTTCTAAAAACTTCAGATTTTGAAGCACTGAAAGTGAGGTTAACTCTTCCGACAATAAAAAAGAATACTAGAAGTAGAAAACAAAAACCTGTTTTAGCTGAATAACTAACTGGGCATTTAATTCTGCTTGGGCAGTGCACTCTGCCTTAGCTTTTAAAACGGCGTCTTCTAAGTTTTTCCTATCATCGCTCACCTCTGTTCTTTTTTTTTCTCTTTCCTAAAACAAGTTTTAGATACAAAGTTCAGTCAAAACGTTCCCTCCATTTTCACTATCAAAAATATCAGAAAAACTATCCCATGAAAGGTTTTGCATAATTACAGTATAATTTGACCAGCATTCTGAAAAATAGTAGAATGCAAAGCAATGACTAGAAAGCCAATGTGAAAAAAGATTCGTCCAATTAAATCAAAGTTAATTGAAAGCGACTAACAGTAGCCAGTTCAGCAAAACGAGACTCCAAACTCTGTTTGGCTTCTTCTAATTCCTCATACTTATGTCTCAATTCATCCAGTTGAGAATCTACCTGCAGTGTTAAGTCAAAAGTAAAAAAGACAGGTACTAAATCTTGAGTTTAATAAATATCAACCTACATTAAGTTTCTCTTCCTCAATACCAGAAATACGTCGTTCATAATCCAAAATTCTCTCGTTACAACGATCAATGCTTTCTTTATGCTAAAATACCAAAAAATTGCAATAAGGCAAACCTTTCTAGAAATAAAAAGTCAATTCCCTACAAAGTCGTTATATACTATAGAACAGAAAATATTCAGTGCAGATATCAAGGATCACATTTCACTCAGCTGAACAAACAGCAACAAAACTCCTACCATGTCTTTCAACTCATTTAACCTTGTCTCATAATCACTGTTCATCCTCTGAATTTCGGAGTTCAAATCGATGGTTTCCTGTGCTGTTAGAACTAATGTAGCATCGTCAAGGTATTTTTGTTGCTAAAAAACACTGATATAACTACCCCTAAAAACTCCTTGAAAAATGACACTTGATGAAGTCAATAAAGTTCATCGTTGCCTCACTAAAAAAGCAGCAGTGAAGAAATAGAAAAGCAGGAACATACCTTTTTTTGCTCACTTATAAAAGCATCGCATATGTTTTCCATATCAGAAAACCAAAGATCACTCGAAAAAGTCTCAGTTACTGAATTTGAAAATCCCCTTCTGCGTGACAGCAGCTAAAATATTCTTATTATAAAGCTAAAAAATCACAGTTTTAAAGAGACTTCAAAAGATATTTGTTTTGAACAGCATGCAGTACAACACTTATTATCCCACTTTTAAAAATTGATTTAAATGCCTTGAAGAAACGTACATTAAAAAGTTAAAAAACATGTTGGTTTCTAAAAAGAAGCACCAACTTGCCTCTTTCAGTAATTGTATTTGTGCGAAATAAAACAAAACTGATTTCTGGAACTCTTCTTTTAGACGAACTAGTGCACGCTCTGAGTCTAACTTCTTCCGGTCGCTTTCCTTTAACTGCAAATTCGTTTTAAAATAATAACCATACGAAAAATGTAAAATCATCAAGAAAGCAAACCCATTCTCGCATTTCGTTGAATGATTCAGCTTGTATCTGTTGCTGTTCTTGCAAAGAATTTGTTTGAGCCATCAGTTCATCAACACAGTTCTGCCTCACGTCCAACTATAAAGATATAATAATTTCAATCTTCCATTAAAAAGCCTAAATCTTTAAAGTTAATCCGTGTTATGAAAACTAACTTGTGCTCATACCAACACTTCTGTAAAAAAAACCAAACCTCTTTTTCAAGCTCCACCTTCTGACGTCTTAATTCGTCACACTCATCAGTCTTCTCAGTAACCATAGCGAGAGCTTCTTTTAGTTCTTCCATAAGGTGATGCGCTGAATGATTGGAGGAAACATCCCAGTCGCCAGTCTAAGGTCATATTTCTTTTACATTTTTTCATGATGAAAACGTAAAATGAAAGTTGTCAAACAAAATGCAGTAAACTTTCACACACCTTTACCCACTCATTGTTAGAATCAGTTGTACCTTCGCTACTAGACTTGCCATCAACGTCCTTTAACTCGACTATATCTGCCGCCTGATTACCAACAATTGAGCGATATCGTCGAATAGAGTTCTCCTGCTCAGAAATTAAAGCACGTGATTCTTCCAATTCTTTTGCAAGCCGTTCTTTCTCTTGAGTCATACTGGCTAGAGCTTGCCGAGTCAAATCCTAAATAAAACAAACAATTGAACATTTTTAACCAGTCATTGACGCACATCTCAAACAGTCCAATTTTTCCAGATATCCATAAACACATTTAAAGGAAGATCATTTTTTACATTCTGACTATTTTCTTCCTGCAGTTGCACGATCTCTCCATACAACTTCTTAAGTTCCTGATCCCTTTTCTCTAGAGTGTCTCTAATATCCATAAACATATCCAAATTTGAAGCCATAGCAGCATTGTCATCCTGAAGTTTTTTGTTTGCCGTTCTGCAAAAAAAAACTTTGCAGGAAAATTGTGAGACGTAGTGAATAAAAATTCTTTTAAAATTTCAAATGCCACTGCAAAAAAAATAAATTTAATTATGCAGCACTTGTACACATAAGATCCAAATAAGTAAACTAACAAAGACTACAAATCTGTATTAAGGGAGCTCTTCAGAAGTTACAAGTAACTACCGTAATTTATTCAGCTCGACATCAATCGATTTTACAGACTGTGTAAAGCGATCTACATCTGCACGAAGACGCTCTCTATCATGTTTCACGTTTTCCAGTTCAATCTTTAAACGTTCAAGTTCACTCTAAAATAAAAATATATAAATGTTTTGAAACTAACTGTACAAGCAGAACTAGCCTGTCTGAGCAGGCTTGAGGAAAAATTTTTTTAAGTGCCAAGAAATAATTAAAAAACCATTTAAACTTACAACAGAGTCAAAGCTTGAGCTGTCTTTCGTTGATTCAAAAGAAACCCGAAGATTTTCAAAATCATTAGTTAACTTTTCCAACTGTTTTGCCGTTTCAGCGTTTTCTGCTTTACAGAGTTCATATTTTTCTTCATATTCAATCAAGTTAGCTTTCAGAGCATCTAAATATTCAACCAAAAATGAACTTTTTAAAGTTACCGGAAATTTCTTCTAAAAAAAGGTAATTAACCAACTCAAAAAGAGCTTTTAATACCAATCTAACAAATCAGTAAACAAGCATATATACTAGCAATTAAAACTGGAAAACCTATTCGCATCGTCAAATCTCTATTAGAAGTCACAACTGAACCGTGCTCAGCACGATGATTTTCAAACTCTTCATTTAAATCATTATAAGCTGCGGTCAGTTCCCTGTTCTCTCTCTTCAATTTCTCCAGTTCATGATCTTTAGCCATATATTTCTCTTCTGTGGCCTTTGAAACTTGCTCTGCATTCTTCGCCTCCTCCAACAGTTGGCTAAAACAGCAGTACCCATACTCCTCAAGCCAAACGTAGAAGTTAAAAGTCATAAATGAAATATAGCCTTATAATCAACCATAATGCAAGCTGACCCGATCTTTTCTTTTCCCTCTGATAGCTCCATTTCAAACTTCCCTCTCTGTATATCAATTAACTGGTGGGCCTGCTGTAATTCAGACTGCAAACCACTAATTTCAGAGCTGAAAATTTCTTTTATGTGAATATTCCGAAAGTCGCATAAAAAAGTAATAAACATGCTTGCATAACGTGAAATATACCTTAGAAAACAGCAAAGCTTTGCAGTGTCGAAAATTTAGATATCAAAAAAAAAGCAATATAAAGAGAGCATATTAGAATATATTTTTTTTACAAAAAACTAACTTTAGATATAAATGAAACTGTAAACCGACTTCCTGTCATTCAAATCAGCAGCTTGCCGGTCACATACATCGCGAATCTTTTCATTCTCAACCATCAAATCTTTAATCCTTTCTTGACAATTAATAAATTCATTCTGGGAAATTTTCACGTCCAACTGAACTCCCTGAAAAGTTTGAAAACTAAATAAAAAATTAAAAAAAGAAATAGAAATAAAAGAGAAGTGGAATAAACAAATAATGGTTTTCATCATCAAAAGATTTGCAAGGTAAAAGAAATAAAAGCAACTCGCGCCTTCTTACAAGCGGCAGAGTCGTCCAACTCATCCTCCGTATTACTCCCTACTTCCTTGTACGTTCGTTTCTTAAAGTAGTTATCGTTTACTGTCAAAAGGCGTAAGCATAAATCTACGCAATTTTCAATGCTGAGTTATGCAAATCTTACCGTTTCCGCAAAATCGTTTTCAACACTCGTAGTAAACTCTCCAACAGACTAAAGTTAAAAGCGATTGAAAGAAAGCAAAGTTAGCATATATAAATAATGAGGAACTGATATACTAACATAAACTTCAAAGAATTGGAAAAGATCCGCACTCAAACATTAATGCATCATAAAAGATTGTTTGAAAAGAAAAGTAATACGGCCTTAGCAGATTGACGAGGCCCAATTTTTTACTTGCAAAAAATGAATAGAAGTTCCGGTAAGAACTTAGTAAACCTAAAAATTTCAAACATCTCCTATATTTTACAAATATTACAGTATAAAAGCCAATAAGCAAAATTTCTCAGAACTTGAGAAAAGTGCAATCAAAATTACTTGTGGAGAGATTATTTTTTCTTCATAGAAATTTCTTAGCTGCTCTATATTTTCTCTGTGCGTCTGTATTAAAGCGGCCATCTCTGCTTCTGACTTTTGCTTCTGTTCTTCAAGTTTTGATTCTAATTCGGAAAGCTTAAAAAACAAAAACAAGTAGACATCTCCACTCAAAAAACCGATGTTTTGTATGAAACATAATAATAAAAATTAAACTGCAGCTTTTGCGTATCCAAGTAGCGATCTACGACAGAAAATGACAAACTTTCTGTGCTTGATTTTGGTCTGCGGAACCATTAGCTATACGTTTCCAGTGCTGGACCTCCTTAACTAGTTCCTCATTTTTTAACCGCAACCGGGATGTTAAAACAGATGTTTCTGAGAGAAAATCGTCATCATCCATGTGTCCAAATGGCTCACTATTTTCTTTATGCTGTGATCGCTCTAACTCGACCTAAAAAAATTTACCCTAGAAGATCAGTAAGAAGCTTCTTGTACTTCTGAAATCACTAAAAAGAATTTTAAAATTACTTGTCTTTAATAAAATATATAAATGTAAACGAAAAAAAACAGATATAAATACGGAAATTTCCCAATGGTTTCCAAAAAAACTTTCAGTTGGACCTGCAAGGAACGAATCTCCTGATCTCGACTTTCGACCATCCCAACATATTTTTTAATTACCGTGTCCATCTCTATGTTTTTGGAATACAACTGCTCATTAAGTTCCACTATTTTGTTCTGCAGCAATTCACTATTCGACCTTTCCGTCAAAAGTTGTCGTTCAAGCTCCTCGAGCTTTTTCTTTGTAACCTAAAATTAAGAATTTAAGACAAGACATAATACCATATGTTGCTGGAGATAAATGGGTCAAAGAGTAACATTCTCAAGGTTAATTGTTTCCATCTGCGTTACATTAAACAATCTTAAATAGATATCGAGTTACTCACTTTCCCCACTCTTCCAAACTTAGTCATTAAGAGAAAACTAAGAAATTAATGCTAACTTGCAGTTCACTTCCAGGATCCTCAACTTCCTCGGTGGCTTCACTTAATACTTCGGAGGCAAGTTCACTTAGTTGCCCCTGAAGATTTCGCAGCCAAGCACTCATCGTGATTCCTTGTCTTTTAGGAACTTGAAACACCTGCGGTGTCACCCTCGTACTCTAACTATTCACTTTGATAGTATATTTCAAAGATAAACCACAGCAATGATCTAACATTGTAACGAACGAAGTACCTCGCCTTGAAATAACGATAAAAAAGAAAAACATAGAGACTATTTGGCAGACGGACTATAAGAAGACTTATTTAAGTTTTTCAGTTTTCTGGACACATTAAAATCCACGATACCTCGACTTTGAGTGACTGAAAGACAGCGCAAACCACAGCAATCCAAAACTTTCTTGAAGAAACAATCACAAAAGAACTGAGCTAAAACTTGAGAGAAGGACAACAGAAAAAACTTTGTTGAGTTGAAAGAAGTACGACGCTGCACCTGCGCGATTTCATAAAACAGACAAAATGATGAAAGGTAAATAAACAACGGCCACTGACCCAAGATCAAATCCGAGGAGAATCGTTTCTTAGTCATATGTATATACGTCCCTTCGAATCCAACACATCTATATATATCGCCATCAACCAACTTTTTGGCTGTTAAATTTTAACAATAAAGTCAGTTGCAGCCAAAAATCGTGGCGGTAAGGCTTTGTTTTCCACAGAAATGTAACTGATGTTATTCCATCTTTGATAACTGGCATGACCCGTCCCAAGCCAGTCACGAGTGTGTTTGCAGCTAGCAATTGTGTCAAACCGGGCTTGAAACGTATACACCTGTGGTTCCCGAGCAACTTCAAAAAAGTAAGCTCTCTTGGAACTTTAAAAATCCCTTCTTTATATTCCGTGAAGACCATCACTGGAACAGATAATCCTCAATCTGTAGTGGAAGAGATCCGTCCTACAGCAGATACTTGAAGACCGTGCCAGAAAAATACAAGTTTTTTAAATC